AGACCATATACCCCCGACGCTCCTTTTCATCGCTTCCTAAAAAAAACAACATTGATCGTTAAAATAAAATGGAAATATATTTAACATAAACATTATTTTATATAGTGGTTGTACTTAATTATTTACCTTTCCACAAAACGTACAGGTGTATTTACTGTGCTGGGTAATCTCCATTTTCTTAACCATTTTCCTGAGCGAGGCTCCATATCGTGTACCATATTTACCAGTGATTCCAACCTTCTTTGTACGCTTAGCCTATTAATTATAATAAAATTTATCAAACGTAGTCGAAGAATTTTTAACAACTTAAACGTTGCTTGGGGAAAATTTGCTTCGATCATTGAAAATTATTAATAAATCTAATATTTTGGCGAATGTAAAATTCATAGAATTATTATTTGGAAAGAAACTGAAATTATTTAGCCGAAAACAGGCACTACGACGAGAAACGCACAATGATCGTCTACAACTGTACATTAATAATGAAAGATTACGTATTTTGCAAAATAGTAGAGTTACATGAGTTACAACAATAACATAACCCCAGCTGTCGACGGATTAGTTGTGAACCAGTTGAGTTAATTGATGCTCGATAAAGTGAAAATATCTCACTCGATCGATCTTATAATTAACAAACTACACCGACCAAAAGTTATCGCGAATATTTTTAACGGATGTGCCCGAAAATTAAGGATTATTTCATTACCATTTTAACGTCACTGGCGTACACTCGTAAGCAAAACCGGAAAGGAATTTAAGAGTTGGATTATTCACTTGAGGTTTGGTCACGGAGCGTCAGGCTGGTCAAGCAGGTTAGGCTTAACTCCAGGATCTCACTCTCCAGCTCTATCTATCAACGCTTTCCATAACCATTTTCAAATTCCTCCATTTATTTATTCATTTATTCATTAGGAATTCTCCCTAAAATTTCTTCAACTTAGGAATCCTCCCTAAAATCTTAATTATTATTAGGAAGTAGAGTTGTTAGTAATAATATCGCGTGTCGTTGTTAGGCAAAATTTAACGATATAATGCCGGGGATGATAGTCAAATTATTACCGAGCTCATGTGCAATTAATTTTAATTAATTAATTAATTAATTTGCCCATCAAATTTAATACGAATAATTTGTATGGAAGTGCTGTTTTAAAATTCCACTTCATAACGTTTTAAGAGTTTATTTCTTTTCGAGCTACGTCGTTCGGCATCGTTCGAATCACTTTTTCGCGCGTAACAAAGCAGTATAGAATATCGTAATTGTTGAATATTAAAAAAATCGCGAGCAAGAAAATTTCAATTTCACAAATATTCTTTCAGCCTCTCCTCCAACAGACATTAATGGGCATAATTCCATCAATTTATCCATTATTCTTTGCGATTGGCTTTATATCGCATTTTAAAGTAACTTTCGAATTGTAGATCGCAGCAGCGTCGCAAGACTCTGAGTTTTCCCCTTCATTCGTGAGTCTGTCAATACTGCGCTTTCGACGTTGGTTATAACGCGACGAACCGACCTCGGCGGCAGCCAAGTGGACTTTTTGGCGCGGCTTTGTCGCCGGCTACGCTCGATAATTTAATCGTTTTGGAGTTGTATCTGCTTTTTTGCCTCGAAACGCCAAGTCCTCGAAGGAGCAATAATGGGCGACAAAGATGGTGGTGAGTTATCGGAGCAGTGCATGAGCAATTTATTTCTGTGATCGTAAACATCTTTTGGTTAATCGGTTGCGAACGTAACAACACAAGCGTCGTCCGAGTCACCGCCGAGCGCGCCAACAACTGGCCATGGACGCTTATGTATTACTGTCTTACTTGCCCGATACTTTACTCGAAAAAGCGATGTCCGTTAGCGATTAATGCCCAATTATATCTTACTTTATGTCATAGTCGACTGTTAATTTTGAAACTTTTAATGGCTCTGCCAAGTGATGTATCTGATAAAGTCGCGTAATTATCGCATAACCTCTTCATTCGTAACATATTTCATAATCAATGGCGTTATTTGTAACCGGCTTGAAAAGTACAGCTCTAACGTTCTATTATCATTACAACTATTATTAAGACATTATTATTTCCTGTATCCGAATTGCTATTGCATGCCGTATTTTTTTCATCTTTTTTTCATTTTCTTTTTTTCCTTCTTTTACTTCTTTTATATTTAAGTACAAGTGTCGATGGTGTTATTGGGCCAGTCAATGAAACTTGACATCATAAAGCCCAATTTAGTTTATTAGAAAATTAAGGGAAGCTTAAACGTTATTTGTCAGGACACCGAGGCGATGCTTAATCAAAGACATATGTATTACATTAAGTTAAAGCGATTGAAAATGTTAATATTTTGTAGAAACTTTTGACGATGCAGTCGAAGAGCGGGTTATTAACGAAGAGTATAAAATTTGGAAGAAAAATACTCCGTTCCTGTATGATCTGGTTATGACTCATGCATTGGAATGGCCATCGTTAACTGCACAGTGGTTGCCCGATGTAACTCGACCGGAGGGAAAAGATTATACCGTTCACCGTCTTATTCTTGGAACTCACACTTCGGACGAACAAAATCACCTTCTAATAGCTAGCGTTCAGTTACCAAACGAAGATGCCCAGTTTGACGCTTCTCATTATGACAATGAGAAAGGTGAATTTGGAGGATTCGGATCGGTTAGTGGAAAGATTGAAATTGAAATTAAAATTAATCACGAAGGTGAAGTGAATAGAGCTAGATATATGCCTCAGAATCCTTGCGTTATCGCTACAAAAACACCTTCTAGCGATGTATTAGTTTTCGATTACACTAAGCATCCCAGCAAACCAGATCCCAATGGCGAATGCCATCCAGATTTAAGGTATAAGATTTTATATAATTTTATCACTTTATAAAATTTATAAAAGCAATTTATTAATAATCAATTTATAAAAAGGTTACGAGGACATCAGAAAGAAGGCTATGGTCTTTCATGGAACCCAAATCTCAATGGCTACTTGCTTAGCGCGTCCGACGATCATACAATTTGTCTTTGGGACATAAATGCTACACCCAAAGAAAACAGAGTAATCGACGCTAAAACAATTTTTACTGGCCACACAGCCGTAGTTGAAGATGTCGCGTGGCACTTGCTTCACGAGTCTTTGTTTGGTTCCGTTGCCGATGATCAAAAACTCATGATCTGGGATACTAGGTAAGCAGTTCTTATATTTTAGGAATGATTTAAAATCCAAAGTTCGCCGTAATAATTATATAACAATCATCATTTTTAGATGCAATAACACGAGTAAACCCAGTCACACCGTCGATGCCCATACAGCGGAAGTAAACTGCCTCAGCTTTAATCCGTATTCCGAATTCATTTTGGCGACCGGTAGTGCGGATAAAACCGTTGCTTTGTGGGACTTGAGAAATTTGAAATTAAAATTACATTCGTTTGAGTCGCACAAGGATGAGATTTTCCAAGTTCAATGGTCACCGCACAACGAAACTATTCTGGCTAGCAGTGGTACAGACAGACGCTTGCATGTCTGGGATCTTAGTAAAATTGGCGAAGAGCAGTCTAGCGAGGATGCCGAGGATGGCCCACCAGAACTATTAGTCAGTTTAAATTAATCTAAAATTATTATATGAAAAATATGAAAATTCGTTTATTTATTAACAATATGATTATAGTTCATTCACGGTGGTCACACGGCTAAGATAAGCGACTTCTCCTGGAATCCGAATGAACCTTGGGTAATCTGTTCTGTATCCGAAGATAATATTATGCAAGTATGGCAAATGGCTGAAAACATTTATAACGACGAAGAACCCGATACACCTGCTAGTGAGCTCGAAGCTGGTGCTTCGTAAACGACCATTAGCTTTATAATGTATTCAATTTTTAATTATCAAATATTAGTTATTGTGTTACATTCAGTAGAGATTTCAATATTCACTAATGAAGATCAAGCATGCAGGTACATTGATTTGATTATTTAATAAGCATGTAGTGTAAAAATTTTCTTATCATTGCTAAGACTGTTATGTAATAATATTTCGTACTGACAAGTACTACTATTATTATTATTATTATTATTATTATTATTATTATTATTATTATTATAATTATAATTATTATTATTATTCTGTACAATCAAGTGTCGATATTTTTTTAAAGCATATCAGTAAAAATTTTGAAAAATTAATAAATACTGACTACATTCTGATCATGTCGAATTTCTTTATAAAAGCAATTTAATAGATGGGTTTCCAATATGTAAAAACTTGTTTTCTTTTTTATGCTTTTATTTTATTAAAAAGACGCTTCCATTGGAATTAAGAATACACGCGTATGCACACAACCACGAATGTAAGCGCGCGCACCTGGATACACATGCCCGAGCATTCTTGCCCGCATGTGTTGCGTGTCGTGTCGCGTATTATGATGGAATTTAATTCAAACGGACGTGATGGAAAGTTCCTTGTAGATTTGGGCAAGCAATGAGCTATTGTCTTTGCGCTCGCTTTCAGGACTGCTTAGCGATATCATATCCTCAGAATCGATATTTGATAATCTGTGAATTGAATTTACATTTTATATCAGTAGTGCTTTATTTATTTTACTCGTAAAAAAAAAAAAAAAAAAAAAAAAAAAAAAAAAATTAGAAAAATAGAAGAAGAATAGAAAGAGAAACATACAAGAAATCCTGTTTTTCAAGTTCATTACACATAAAATTCATTACCAACGGTTCGTGTTTGAATATGATCTACATCGGCTAAGCATGCAAAATTGAATAAAGTTTATATAATTGGTCAGGCAATCATTCGTCAAGCAGCATTTAACGATATTGTGAAAGACATTTTACCGTTTGACAGGTGCTTTTTTTATACCATCGAGAATTGTCGATATCGGAATTGTTGTATCTGGACGGAAAATCTAAAAATTTTTTTTTTAAATATTACAATTAATATCAATGTACCTATACCGAAAACTTGTATTATGATTATAAAAAGACAAAGACTGACGTTAATAGAAGCATTTCTCATTTCACGAAGATCAATGTTGCGAAATAGATCATGAAGTATTAATTCTTCTATATTGGGATAATTCAATCCTTGTGTTTGTCGTTCAAATATAAAATCTAGGCATTCCAATACCTGTTTAAAATTTTACAGAACATTTATAAAATATTGTATCACTTTTCATATAAGAAGGGAAAATAATCATTTACTAATCACATGTGACTTATAATGTCGGTTGAAGTAATTTTCCATCATATGGCTTTTATAAGAACTATGTATATCTTATTAATTTTCGTTTTAAGTTATTGTTAGCGCCTAAAGTTGATACACGAAATAAAAATAATTATGACATTTTTCCGCATTTTCTACGCTTCGTTATTTATTTTGTATCTTAAAAAGAAAGCAATTTAAGTGAACATTAACTTGAATTCTTAAATAATACATGTAAAATGCAGCATCAAATTAAGAATTTGTCAAAAAAAAAAACGGTTTTAAATATTTGTTTATAGTGTTGATAATAACAATAAAATAAAATATTAATAATATTTAAATGTACCTGTGGATATTTATGAATGTCTGAAAGATTTACGGCAGTTGGTTCGAAAGTACATAACTCATAGCCAGCTGTCATTTCGAAAAGCATGTGACCTAAAAAAATAATGTTCTTAAATTTTTACCTCCAACGTACAAAAATTAAATAACATTAAAATATTATAAATGTATATAATGTTGTGTTTTATTGAATTTCTTATTGTCCATTATACATTTATATAAGTTGGACATAAATGAACGAGATGCTGACTTTTCTTTCTGATTAATAAATTTAAAATTAAAAAAATAAACCGTCTCTAAACACTCGGCACGCACAAATATTTTCTAGATCCTAGCTATTGCTTATTTTGAAATGATATTGTATTGTGTTATTTATTAAAATATTGAAATATCGATAAATCAATGTTACCAATACCATCAAACTAGCTATTTGTAAATGGGTATAATAATTTACTTTGTAAAAATCAATAAAAACAATATTTCCATATACATTTACAATGTGCTAAATAATTTTACGATTTGAAAGTGCATATAATAATTTAAAAATTAAACCAACAATTTTAATTTAATGTTGGTCAAATTTGATCCAACTATTAATAATGATTGTTACAGGATTAGAATGACTGAATCAGTTAATCCACTGGATTTAGCCATTGTGTTAAATGTATGAAATTAATTTTTTTCTTTTTATTCGACGAGGCTGTCTTGAAACGATTCTTTTAACCTAAAAAACAAAAACAAAAAAAGATTTCCGTATGAGAAATAAAAACATCGAAATTAATTATTTTAATTTGGCGAATAATCCATAGACTTCGTTTTATTTTGAGCGAGCAAAAGTCATGTCACGCGGATGACTCCAAGTCCGCGAAATTTGAAAAGTAGAAGGAATCGCACCGAAGGAAATGATGTCAATGGCCTCTGGCGTCAATTGGTTTCTGCTGTTGCGTAAACGCGACGCGATGACTGGGTAGATACGGCTGGTGAAACCCAGCAGAGTATTTTCAAGGGCGGCAAGTCGAGCGACACCGTTCTGCACAATCACGTTACCCGAGTGTAGGTGGGCGACGGTTGGGAAGTCCCGTTCCTTGAGGAAGACCAAAGCCTCCAGCACCTGGCGACCCATACGCTGAATTTGCGGGATTGGTAGGCCCTTACCTCGACTGCCATATTTTAGCGTCCAGTCCTCGTTCCAACAATTTCGCTCTATCTGCATTCAATCAATATATGTGTACGAGCGCGCGCGCGCGCGCGTATACCTCTCTCTCTCTCTCTCTCTCTGTGTCGTCAGTGACACCTTTATTTTTTGTTAGATTGTGCTTTGAGTAATTGATAGCTCACAAAGAAGGATACTCGACGATATTATAAAATTGCTAGTCTCTCCGACAAGTGTTTTAAAATTTAAAACTAATTAGTTATATGATAAATATTTATAAGTTAATTTTCTAGTACTTTTGCAACAATTAATTTCCTAAAAGTTAATCCATAATTTTCTATCGATAAGTTACATTAATTTTTCTATCAATTAAGATTATGAAGATAATTAGAAATATGTAAGTTTAATTTATGATTTTATAAAATTATAGAATTAAGAGAAGTGTAGTATTATAATAAATCCATTGCTGTGACGAAATGAAAAAATGAATTTCAAGCATCAGAACTCAAGTAAAATTACATTTTCAACGCTGTTTCATCTAATTTGTACATTTCATTTTTTTTCTTTCTTTAATTTTAAATAATAGCGATAAAATAATTATTATAATTATTTTTAATAATGATATATAATAATTTTTATGTTAATTAGTATAAGATATATTGTGTTGTATGTAGTAGTATTGTAGCCATTGAAATCATCTGAATTAATATAATAATCATTTTATACGATATTAGCCATAAAAGAATTTACAAGTCCATGTAATTTTCATAAGCTATAGAAATATTAACTGTATAAATATATTTCTTATTTGATATTGATTTGTAATTTCGAAAATATTTTCTCGATTATTGGAAGAAACTAAAGTTTATTGTCTATTTATGTAATGTTCAAATATTCCAATAAGTTATGTTTGATGTATCTCAATTTTCATGTTCTGTATGTAAACAAATATATAAAAATTTTCGATATTACATAAAAAAAAGTGTCCACAATATATTTCTATTAATTTGAATATTTTATTAATAATTACTCATATTCATAACAAAGATTATTAAAGTATTTCCATGAACTTCTGCAAAAATACGTAGGCACTTTTTTTTTTGTTTTTTTTTATCAAATCCAGTACAAATTGACATTTAAAATATATTTCATATAATTTTAATTCCATTATTTTAATAAGATTTCCTGATATTTCTTTTAATTACTGACTATTACAGTATAAGTAGGATAAAATTATTTTTATGAATTAACGAACTTGATTTTTCTATAATTAAATAATGAAATATTTCATAATGAATAAAATGATTCGAATAATGCTTTAGAATTTTATTGAATTTGATCATCTTTATATTATCACGTTTTCGTATTATTTCATTTAAGTAAGATGATTTTGGTGAAATTTTTTTCTCTCTCAGTATTTCATGCTTTGAGTATATGAATAGAATATGAATATTTGTCTTTCAATTTTCTTTTCCTTTCAACTATTTAAACACCTTTATTATACTTTGTAAGTATAAACTTTGTTACTATTCTTTATTTAGAGCCAAATTATTCTTCAATATTATCAGAATGTTCAAATAATTTTCATGTTCTACGCTCCGATTGTAAAATTACTCGAGCGTTATAATTCACTCAAAATGCGCATATCTTTTAGAAAAGTCTATCGAGGGCAAAAGTTTGTTGTCACCTACGCTCCATCGACCAAAGTAGTTGAAATAAAAAATAAAAAAAGCTGAACCGGCGCATCATTAATAAAGCCATCGACATCCCTGTAAGTATAATCCCTATCTATTGCCAATAACACCAGTCAAACTTACCCCGTAAATGATATCCTTCAAACTGCCCTGATTGATTGGCTGGACCAGGACAATGTGATTATTGTTCTCGTACTGGATAAAATCCAGCTCGAATATCGGGCATATGTATGGATGCTGGAGCGTCAAGAATAGCTTATTGAGAATGTCACGGGTAGAGGGATTGATGTTGAGGGCGCAGTTGCGGCTGAGGGGTGCGAGAGTAAGTAGTCTATCCGTTTTCAACAAAGTATCCCTCACGGCGAACCAGTGTTTATCTACGCGCGATCCTTTTGTTCAAGGCAATGAAATAAGAAATAAGATGAACAATAATGCATCGGGGTGTAAAGCACCTATGCATAATGCAAATGAGATGAATCTCCTCAACAGGTGGCCCAATCTGACGATTAAAAAGTCGCCCGAGCAAAAATTATAGTCGACTTTTATTATTCCTACGTCATTTTAAGTTTAATTTGCTTTTCGGATAATAATGATTAATGAATACTAAATGCCTCGTAGGATTAAATCTAATTGGATGGGCATGTAACGGCATATAGCAAATTTTAATTAATATTCATGTCGAATACAGTAAATTCCATTTTATGTGTATTTTCATTCTCAAAATCTTTATAATATTGAAATTTCTGTGAAATGTGTGAATTTTAATGATAAAAAATTAACGAAATCTTGAGAAACAAAATAATTACGTTTAATTTGCTTTTTTTCTATATTGTTTAAACAATTTGATGAACAGTCACTTTACCTTGAAATTGAATCGCACGATTGTGACTTTTGATGCTTGAGATTTTAATCAGTTACCTTAATAAATATCTTTATAAACAATCTCTATTTTCTTTTATTTTAATTCTACTGCTTAAACTATCGACATAATTTACCAACATCGATAATAATAATAATAATAATAATAATAAGAGATGTTTCTTACATTATCGAGATATAAGAAACTTAATGCAATGTAGTGTAAACTAAATGTCGGTAAATTTATCATCTTTATATGATTTCATATTAAAATCCTCGTTCCCTTCAAAGGCATATTTTAATGAAAATTTAATTATTAAGAATTTTATAATTTAGATATTACTTTCGGCTAATTTATAAACTTTATAAATATTTGAGTTTACGATTAGAGTAGGCGTAGTTACTTTAAACTTACTTTAGAAACGTGACTTCGTGTGTGTACGTATAAAATTTAGAATTCTAAAAAGCCGATAAATTGAATAATTTAATGTTCCAAATGTGCTTTGATTTTCCCATTCTAACGGTGGATATTTTTAACGTTAATATTTTGTAATTCATATCTATGTGAATGTATAATAATAATAAAAGTAATTCAAAGAATCGTCATTATTAGTCTGACGACCAATATTTATACTTAATAGTAATAAGATAATAGTTAATAGTGATTAATATATATAAACATAATTAATAGTGATAAGAATAACAAATAGCAATAAGATTTTGAACAATTCGGAATATCGATTAAATATCATCATGATGTTTTTACAAAAACTTACTCATCAAATGTTTCATAAGAATTGTACAACGTAAAGGCAAAGAAATTCCCATTGAGTCAGACGCGTTAATGATTCATAATAAACTTATAACCAAATTCGTTTAATATCTATATAAATATAATATCAAGTAGCTTATATTGCATTGTCATACAATTTATTAGCATTTAGAATTTTGAGGTGAACATTGAAGTGAAATATATGGGAAATAAAGCCTACTTCACTTTTTATATCGCGACTGAGCGAGCAATATGAGAGGTGAGAATTTAGCTCGATATTTTATCCTCAAATCCGTTCGTCGATAAGCGAACTAAAACTGCAGAAAAACCGCTCAACGGCCAATAGGTTCGCGGTGAAATTAACATTCGTCATAGGACAGTTAATAATGAGGGTCCTAAGCCACGTCACTCGCACAAATAAGCCGAGAAGCACTTATTGGCTCGTCTCTCGCTCAAGCGCGCCATTCTTTAAAACTTTCATTTTAATTGCAATCCCTGTGCCATATTTGCAAAAGGGCTTGGCGCGCATTGTATTTCAAATCGCGACAAAACCACACGTACACGTGGGCGTGCCCTACCGACATTGTTGAGATGCTTCAAGAGGCTGAATCGCGAGGTTTCTCGAGTGTAGATACGGCAAATCGATAGGGCACGATCTCTCGATCTCTTTTCCATTTCCAAGCTCTCGGTCGTGCTCTCGAGTCCGAACGTCGTGGCCCCGGCCATCGGTGACACCTCGGTACCGGCCCCTAGACGACGACGTTGCTGCTGCAGCTGCTGCTGCTCGAGGGCCATGTACTGCTGCCGTCCATTGCCTCTGTAATTTATTATTCCAAAATACATTTAATTGATTTTCGCCTGATACTCGCGAGCTTCGAGTGTACAAAGATCGCCGACGTGGCCCGTGTCTCGAACACTACAATATTACTTCATCAAATGGCTGAAGGCATTTTATTTGCTCATAATTAATCACAGCTTCCTTTAAAGCTTCAAAGTTTGCTAAATTTCAATTAAAACATTATCTTCCCAAACTCATATCACGGCTGAATAAACACCTATTCCCATCTATTTTCCTGTAGAGAGTGTCGCGAACGAATTATTTCTACGTAAAAATTATAAACCTTGCTCTTTTTTTTTTTTTTTTTTTTTTTTATTTTACTGTAGAGAGTGTCGCGAACGAATTATTTCTACGTAAAAATTATAAACCTTGCTCTTTTTTTTTTTTTTTTTTTTTTTTAATTCTACGATATCGCATTAAGAGCAAATGTATTTACGACATTTAGATAGGCTTTTAACTCTACTTTTTAATAGAATACGGGATGAAGGATAATGGAAGGAAACTAAGAATTTCGTAGATTTAATTTAAAGTATTTTATATATAAATACCAATGCTATTTAAAAGAATTAGTCGGTACATCGATATATGTGTAGCGCAAAAAGTCTTATGTACTAAACTGTACTGGTCGTAAATTAATTTTGTACACGAAAAGTTGCAATAATTTGCTTATAACATCTTAGAAATGCTGGATATTTAAGCCAATGAAATTCTTGAACATAAAGATATGAAAGAGTATTGTATTATTGTATAATTAAGTAAAACTTTTAAGCCTCAAGTATCGTTTGTTATTTGTCGTATCTTATTATTAATATACGTTATAAACGGATATTTAATAGGAAATATTTAACTTTTAATTCAAATACTTAGAATTACATTTTTAATTTTGTACAGAATAGTTTTTTAACTTTGTATAGTCAAGTATGAATGTTTCAACATCAATGTCGATAATGACACAAATAATTAATGCCAAATAATTAATTTGCCATAGACATTTATATTTATTATGAGGATTACAAGATTAGTTTTGAATACAAACAACAACATTTGACATTTTTAAATATACTTTGTAGAATTCATATGGAAAATTGATAATATTTTATATTCACTATCTATAATAATATTATAATATAATATGAATTTTTAATTTTTGTTCATAAATAAATATAATGCTAAAATAATTCTTTAATTTTATAAAAATTAATGAAGCTAACCTATAATGAATTATGAGCACTATAAATATATATTTTATATATGTATGATTAAGGGTACATTTTAAAAGATGTATGATATTTAAATAAATTTTTATTGAAAGATTTTTTTTTTTATTCATTAAAGTATTTCATACGTGAATTTTGATTTGAAAGATTTGAAAGAAAAATAAAATTGTTAATGTAGAAAAATTAATGAGCTAAATTTTTACGATAACTTTTGCATCAACAACTATTGCACCGGTGAATTTTTGCAACGGAGAAGGGACAATTACCAAGAAAATAAATTCAACATTTTTTACAAACTTTTCATATAAATATGTACTCTATTACTAAGTAATTTTTTCAACATTATTTATGAAATAAAGATTTAATGTTCTTTCAATGTTGACTTTGGTCGATATTTGTTAAAGTCAAATTTAGTACACGAAATAATAAGTTAATCTAATACAATACTAGAGAATTATAAATATTTGTAATTGAAAGATATTGAATATATTGGCTTAATAATATTATTCTTCAGAAAATACTTTAAATAAATAAAAAATATAGGGATATGTTTATGTTAAAACAATAAATTTTTTTATGAAATTTGAAGAACTCATCGTGTGGATCGATTAATTTTTGTTGTTGTAAATCTTATCACCTCTCAACATATCTAAATTCGATATACTCGTGAAATATGTGAATAAATATATAAATAAATGTGATATTGATTGTAAATTACTCGTCACTTTTTATCTTAATCAAGCAATAAGGAGGAAATTATTGTATATTATAATTTTTCAATAGAAAAACAACTTTACGAGAGAAATATTCCGAATAGTATTCTTTATATATTTCAATGGTTTCTTTTTGTCCCGTTAGCCCTCCCTCCCTTCTTTCTTCCATTCTAATGATTATTTCCGGGGCTTCAACAAATAGAAATTATATAAGAGTACCAAGAATTAGCCAGGGGCAGGCTTTCGACATTAATATGACTATTGTCACTTATAACGCGGCAGTTGATATTTGCATTTTTAGTCCTACAACCGCGCAGGCTTCATCCAATAACGAATGCTCATATAGTTGTCACTAAAATATTATTATTACGAGGATAAGGAAAATTACGCAAAGATTCTCTCACTCGGTTATGAATGCAATGAAAATATTGTAATTGGATTAGCGGCAAATACGTTGAAAAGATTGGCATGAAAGGTATGTGCTTAGCTGCGTAATTCATTCATATGGAAAGTTGAAACGAGCGCAATGGAATGCTAACTATTTTTGACTTTTCAAATACTTAATTTGTATATTAAAAATTATTATCGTTTATAATTTAAATGCAAATGTCGGAATATATATTAATTATTTGTCGCCTGTAGGATATTTCATCTTCAAATAATAAACCGAATGCTTTTTATTAAATATACGTCGATATTGACCTTTTTTTTTTTCATGAAAGTGCACGAAAATTGAAAATATTTTCTATTACTAAGAATTATAAGAATGGAAATAAAACTTTTGTTTATCATCTACATGGAGTATCATTCTGAATATCATATGGTAAGAAGGTTAACTATGATAGCATTAAATTAGCAATTGTACACTAATGGAAGTTCGTAATTGAAATTTTCATACTTCAGATCAATTTATTTTTTGGTTGTTTTGTTTTCTTTTTCTTTTTTCTTACCTTAAGCTATTTAATTTAATTAAATTTTAATTAACTTAAATTGTTTAATGGAATTGAATCGAAGGCACTTCTTCGAACATTATATCTCTCCGTAAAACTCACTTGTCATATATAAAATGTATTATCGATTCAATCAATGGATAATTAATATATTACGCTAGATCTGCTTTAAGCATTAGTTTACCTTTGATCAGATTCAGTCGATTGATCATTGATACATTTAGAAATTATTGTTTGTTATCTAAATCAAACATCTCATTGCATTCGTTTACACGTTTTATAAACGCTAATCAACAAAATCGTTCACATGCAATAGTCATTAATCTTCCATTAGCGATTATAAAAAGCTGCTGTTGATTTTATTCGCAATTAAAGCCACGAGGTCCTTGATCCCATAATATCACGCTCAAATATAGGTTGGAGCGATAAAGAATTTTTTTTTTTAATGTAACTCACATTCCTACATCATTAACATTCAATGTAATACACATTCGCGCCTGTTGCATTGTACAAACAAGTATTGTCGACTCTTATTACCACATGAAAATTTTAACACGATTAACCATTGCTCGAAAGCATCGGAAGGTAGTCAACGTTTTCCTTTTGTAAAGATCAAGGTCATTTCCCGCATCGAAACTGGATAATCGAGCATTGTAAAGAGTAAAAGTTCCCTGTTATTTCAAAATTAAAACAAGATAAGTGCGTAATCGCGATTAAAGATACCATAAGGCGTAGTGCTTCTTTCAATTTTCGCCTCACATGTATGAACATGTAATCTAGAAAAATAAAGGCGGCGATGTTAGGTGGGAAGCGAGAGAACGTTCGGTAAGACGCGCATGGGTAGAGAGGGCCGTTCATGCGCCATTTTTCCTCTTCATTCGTTCGTTGTAGGGTGAGCGCGTACAGACGTACCCACTTTCACCAATACACTTTCCCACTTTCTCTCCCACTTTTACGAATCATCCGCGAGCACCGGCGCGATTTATTTACTTCTGTTTTGCTCGACTTTGAATAAAGCGCGTCCCGGTAATTTTATCGAGCTCGGCTCGCTCGAACGCCCCCTCGCCCTTTGACCGCGCCTGACCTGCATTTCGATAGCTGCCTAGGATCATCCCCGTGAATCCAGAAAGGTCGAATGCCAAGTCAATGCGAACGCGCTCCCAGATTTTGAGAATTCAATGGGCTTTAAGAAGCACAGACTTTTTTGTTTTTACGGGGTGTGACGATTTTGATCTCGCAAAAGGAACTGCAAGGACTTATCCCTAGGGACTCTGAGTGAATATTTGAGATGCCAAGACCGATGAATCGAGCGGGTTCAAATCAAGCCATTTACAATAGCGTCCTCAAAAAATTGAAAGAGAAGAACGTTGATAATGTGCATTACGAGATGTCTATCCTCCTCCCTTTTCCCTGCATTTATTCGATTAGACTTGTTTTATAAATCATAATTCCATTCGTTCTCAATATAATTGCTATTTACAGGTGTCTCAATATTAGTATATAAAAACTGCTAATAATTGCGATTCGTCATTGAATGAAAATGAAAGAAAACACGATAAGAAAGTTTGAAGAAGCACAAAGATTTTTTTCGAGTAATGTTACTTTAGAATCAAGACATTCTTATAACTTCTTTTGCAAAGTTGACTTTAACAATGCACCTTGACTCAAACAATGTAAAAGATCTGGTGCATAATAGACTCTCAAAATGTTATTTGTAAAAAGCTTTTCTTTCTTTTTTGCTTTAGTTTTAAATATAAAAGGGAATTTTGTGAGGGAATTTCTATACAAAAAAAAAAAAAAAAAAAAAAAAAAAATCGATCCACATATCAACTATTCTTTCTCTACATTCTCATTGTAGAAGAAATTTGAGATATAAATATATATTGTCTGTCTGAAATAAATATATAATATTTTTAGACAATGTCTTCATTCAATGTACGAGGGTGCAAATACATTTAGATGCATACATATTCCAAGCTGCTTTCACGTCTATTTCTACGTCGTGTCTTATTATATTTTGCTCGTTTGACGTTATATTAGAGGTAATTTTTTTACGCCCACATGTATATTTTTATTTTGTGATTATTTTTTTATTTCTATATTTCACGGCGGCATTTTTCAAACTCACTGACAATTACATACGAATATAAATTGTTAATTTATTTCATCGTTATTGTCGTTTTATTGTTATAATATAATATAAACAAGGGTAACGATCACTACTTCGCTACTGTATGTTGTTTTCAATAAAAAAAATATGAATTAATTCATATTACAAATAAAAATATAAAAATTCGCTTAATTGACCTACGCTTTTCAATTGAAATAATAAATCACTTACACAACATCTCTATACAAAATGTATAACGTTGCCTTAACATTTTTAACAGAAAATATTTTTATAAAATTTCATAATGTTATAATTGTTAATAAAATACGTTATATTTATCGCGGTATTCAAATATTCTTCGAAATGTTTTCGGATTTTGTGATTTAATAGTTTCTCACATTCCTAAAACTTTTATATAGTTAGATTTTGTAATTGATTAGGTGAATATTAAATTCATATTTAAATTAGGCTATAAATAACAAAGTTGTATAAAAAAAAAAAAAAAAAAAAAAAAAAAAAAAAAGATATCAAGAATTCTATTTATTCAAACTGTCAGAAACTTATAATATGAATTATTCATGTTTTAGAACAAGAGATTTTGAGTTTTTAAGTAAGAAAATTTATGGTATATTAATTCGGAAGAATAATGCAAACAAAAATTTAATTAAATAAAAAAAGTTGCAAGAGACAATCGTTAGTATAATAAAAAATTAACAATGAAATTTTTATTATCTATTGATAAATCGAATTGAAAAAATTCAAATTAATAATCCATAGAATTGCATTAAGGCATTGTTACGAGAATTAGATGTAATTGACTAGTAATGCCTCGGTAAATTTTGAATTATTTTAGTAAATAAAACTAAAAATTATCCCTAAGAAAATTCGTCAAAATTTCAGCGCTAGTTTTTGACTAATTTCATCATTATAATTTCCTATATCAATTATGATAATTACAGTTCAAAAAACATTTGTGAATACACTTTTGGTATTCATACATAAAATTCAATATATGTTTTACATCAACACGAGTACAAAAAACCTTTTATTAAAATTAAAACTATAAATATTCTTTAAATTGAGACATGCAGGTAGCCTGTAAACAATTTTTGAAGTTAATTTAATAGTGTAAAAAATATATGATAAATAAATTTATAATATTTTTAATTTACAATTATTATATAATTTAACAATTAACTTGATTTTACGTATCTATAAATAAATCAAGTTTTCATTTCGAGTTTTAATTAAAAAATTAAGTATTTAAAATTCTATAAGAATTACTCTACGTGATAGAATAACTATTCTTATAATAATTTGAGGAAAATATTTAAGTAAAGATTGTAATTGTTACAAAAATGTCACTACAATATTCATTCATGAATTACTAAGAGTGTAACATTGTATTTATTGATTAAATATTATATTAATTTTCATAATAATGACGTGATTTACATGATCGATCAACTTCATGCAATGTGCGCGGTTACGAAGAAAATTCATGTAAGTAATTTGTTGAACGATTAAATATTTAATGCATTAAATGCTACGGTAATTGACGTAAAGAATATAAATAAAGTTTTATGTAATAATCGATGGAATGTTAAATGGAAATTTAACAAGTTAATATAGATATATATTATTGTAATTTTTCTGAAAACTTTATTTTTATTCCCGTAATGTTTTATTGCAAAAAAAAGGAAAAACTTTTATCATTTTACTTTTTCTAAACTTTTAAAGATCTCATGTAACATATTTTACATTGCAAAAATATTTTTTTTATCATAAAATACCAATTATGTTTTGTATAGAGTAAAAAATATAAAATGTTTTAATATAACAGAAATTTGTTAATAACTGTTAATAATATTGAAGAAAAAAATCTTACTATCATCATGCTAACATTTTTTTTAACTCGGCAAATGTATTTTCGATCACTTAAATAATCATGTTTTATATTTTTTAACTATTAATTATTTCTTAGAATTTATTAATCGATATACCGTTTTCTGCATGTACGTTTTTACCAAATTCTTAGTTAATATTTTTCTTTTATATATATAATTCTCGTAAAATTTTGAGTCATAATGTTTAGAAATTTTTTTTTCACTGTAAAGTAAATTTTACGTTTGAAAATATTTGTTAAGAAAACGTACAAATGTAGATTAATGAACCTACATTACACTTTCATGCAATAAGTTAAAAAAAATTTATAAGCATTACATTAATAAAATGCTGTTTTCGATAATATCTGCACGCAATTACAGACAATAGAAATTTAATAGACGAATACTTTTTCCTTTGATAACAAATGCAATGCAAGTAAGTCAAATTATGATATATATGTATATATCAATCTATCTTTAAATAAAATTTTTGTAATAATTATTGTAAAATATCGAATGAACGTGTTTTTTCAGTTTTAAAAATAATGTTACGATTTATTTGATTTATGCGAGCCCTTATTTAATTTACGAAAATTAATCAATGAATTTATTATTTAAAGTATTTCTTATCAAATACAAGTTGTTTGCTTAAAATAAAAGTAGCTTTACGATTGCATAACCAAGTGTCTTTATAACAAGTTACTAGACAATAATTGACACGTTAATCGTATTAAATTAAGTTTACTTCATTCGCCGTGAATGTAAGTTAAGCAGAGATTAATTACATTCGTACGCGAATGCTTGAAATTAAAGCCAAGTGATTTCAGCTTGAATAGCGTACATTACACATTAAAAAAAAAAAAAAAAAAAAAAAAAAAAAAAAAAAAAAAAAATTAAAATCTAAGAAATTTTAGATCTGGCACTTGTCAAAATCCTATCCTTTAATGCTCAAGGAACGACAGAGGGATATTTTTATCGAACCTAGAGTCATAGACTAGCAAGGTCATCACCTTAACACGGGAAGTCGCGACAGGAGTTTAATCGCGATAAGGCCTCGGGCCCAAGCACTGGACTCTAAATACCTTGGTCCGTCGTTCTGATCCTTGCAGCCTTTAACCGCGTGCACCCGGCTGAAGAGCATCTTCGCCAAACTGTCAATCTTGCTTGTCAGCTGATAATAGCCCTTGGCAGCGTCCTCCTCCTCGTCCTCCTCGACGCTCGCGCTCTTCTCCTTCCGTAGCAGGACGCTCCTGACCGTGGCGAAGGCGTCGTTGTTGCACTCGATCTCGATGGCGCTCTGGGTCCTGCGGCCCGGTGGTCCTCGACGCTTGCGTCGATTAGCGGCTCCTGGCCGATGCTGACAGAAGCGGTCATGCCCGGTGAGCTCGGCCTCGCGCTGAAGCTCATTCTCCTCCCGACGGGCATTGAAGTTCTGGTAGAAGGTGAACATCGCGAGAGCTGGACCGCGCTCGCCCTCCTTGGCTAGTCTTCACTACTGAACCCGGACGCACGATCGACGTCTTCGTCTGTGGTGCATCGCGCCCCGGCGCCAGACGAACTCCGACGGCTTCGCCGAGAATTAGTCGGTGTCCCGACGCCTCGTTGCCGCTCCTCGAGGCTATTCGCGGACGGCGACGGCTCCCCTGTAAAGCTGGCCGTGACGTTTCTTCTCGGCGAAGACGGGGCTGGAAAAAGCGATTGCACGATTATGTGATCCCCGGGTGAGCTTTGGGAGGGACCAGGGGGAGACCTGGCCAGTTGCTTGAATTGAACGATATTTTCCAGGGGTTACGATGGATTGTTTATAATCCGTGAGTCGATTGATGATTGATGAAAAGAAGATGGTTGGGGTCGAGCGGCTCAATGGCACGTTCTGAAGCTCAAAGCCCTGCACTTTAACGAGGATAATCGTGGTGGGAGATGAGACATGGATCTATTATTACAGCATATTGACAACAAATCTGTATTATGGATAGACGTTTACGGGGGGACAAATATCGCTTCGTTGTGTATTCGATTGCCTCCGTTAATATTTCTATCAAAGTGTTTTGAAGAAAGTTCGATCGATGTATCTGAATATTATGTATGCATTTAATGTAACGAGCAAGTAATTTACTTATTTTGATTCGCGTGGCTGCTCGATTTATGGGTGAATTTTAAGTTGTGTCAATAATGATCGGCAAGACCGGAAGAAACATTTTATAAAATTTGAATCGATAGCTGAGCTAGAACTATACCAATTTACAATTTCATAGAAATAAATCAATGCATCTTGCAATCAATTTTGCAGCAAGCAACATCAAAGGCATAATGTAAAAAATCATAATACGTAGCTCTTGCATACGATTTATATTTTTTATTCTTTTTTTTTGTTTTATATAAGACTCTTAACATTTATTGCCTTTTTCGTTCTAATTTCTTTTTCGAGATATTTAAGGCAAATAAGCTCATATTTGAATGTGCCTCGCAAAACGTATAAGATTAAAAATTAGTTTTTTCTACTCTTCTTATCTAATTGTACTCTTCTCATTTAACGACCATTTCCTCTTTTTTTTTTTTTTTTTGATAAATAAAAAGCTTTCCATGGGGATATACATATTAATTCTGAAAATTATACATTTACTATAAATTTAGAGAGTACGGCGTGTGTTCAAAGGGTACAATAGAAATCAATAAATGTTATGTATTTTGTAAGGTTGTTTTTTATGTGCCTTAAATAGCCGATTTTTTGGAAATACTTGTAAATGCAAAGAAAAACTTTTATTTTCACTTTAAATTAGTATTTTGTTGTATGTCTCGTCGAATGTATAAAGCATTATTTTATAATAATTTTTTACAAATAACATAGGCATTATGTCTAATCAATCATAGTTCAAAAGAGTTTATATTCCAAAATGTTTTCTCAATCAATTGTTAGCTATCGTAGATAAAAAAAAAAAAAAAAAAAAAAATCGATCGTGGCCAAGAAATTCACAAACAATTTATTATAATCTACTTTTATAAACAATATAATTTTAAAGCTGAAATTAAATTTTCTATTATACGGATGAATATTTGTTGAAAGCGTGTGTTGCGTGCAGTTAAAAAAAGTACAAACTCTTAAGAAAATATATTTTATTTCATAACAGAATATAAATATTTAACAAAATACGTCTATGTGATTTAAGCACTATTTCAATATATTCTTGAGCCTAGTTTAAATAACAAAAAAAAAAAAAAAAAAAAAAACTTTTTGAACATTCGGGAACTGTTTGAACATTCGAGAGTGGTAATTTACCTTAATGCATTATTTATATTTGAATTTTTTTTATATAAGTAGTATATTTATAAATTTATATATATATATATATATATATATATATATATATATAATATTTTATAAAATAATTTCTGTATTTAAATTTAGATAATATAATTTTATGTTATTTTATATTAAACATCAATTCATCGATTGATATTTAAATAAAAGTAATTTTATTGTAAATAACTCGGTATGTACGCTCTATGCATATTAATAAATTAATACAATCAACTTTGTCACGAAACATTCATTGTCTTCTTAAAGTACATTATGGTATAATTATAATATGTATTTACTTTATTACATTGTTTATATTTTAAAGGCCATAAGTACATCGTTTAATTAAAAAAAAAAATTGTACATTATGCAATATTTGGAAACTTGGATTTACAATAATATTGAAACAAATGTCATTAATAAGGACGAAAAAATTATTTCTATAGTACTATATACACAAACAATTATGAATAAATATATATATTTAAGCGTGTTTAAATAATACATTTACCAATTCTCATGATTATTAATGTAAATACTTTATAAATTTGAAAAAACAATAATTACTTTCACATTTTTATTAATATAAGTTATGAATTCTAAGCTAAGAGTATTTTCTTGGTAAAATATTGCATTTTTCTAAATTTAGTTTTGGTTGAGAAAATTTTACCAAACAAAAATGCTGAAAAATTCAATTTTTAAGTATAAAAGCTATATAAAAGTAATACCACATACATCTCCACAAATGGCTCTCACAAAACATTTTTTAACACTGTCAATTAAATTGTTAATAAATATAAAAATAATGCTTTTACCAAAATAAAAATGCAGCTTCCCACGATATCATGAATTATAGATTGTATGACAGTGTGTAAACACAAGATCAAGCTCGTAGCGTCAAAGGCATTCTTTCTTTTTCTTTCACTCTCTCTCTCTCTCTCTCTCTCTCTCTCTCTGTCTGATAAGTGGACTATTCGCGACAGAAACCTTCTGCACGTTTATATATGTATGCTCTCCACGATGGTAGGAGGTAAACTGATTACTACTTACCACTGATGCGCTACTCTGGTCTCTGCCTCCTGCAGAAGGTGCTTGCACCCGACGTTGCAACGCGCTTGCGCCGCACGAGATTGAGAGAAAGCCAAAAAATAGTTGCACGTGATAACGACAGGCGAAGAGACACTTGGTGTCTCTTTTCTTCAGTTTCATTTATCGTTAATTACGGATTTTCTTCTATATTTTCGTTGAAGGGTTAATTGGATACAAAAAGCCTTGGGCCAGAGTCAAACACACCAAACTCTATGTATGTAATTCTGCTGAATTTTTAATTTAATCTCCAGTTATTCATATGGTTTCTTCCGCGAACTACAAACTAGTTTAAGGAAGTGTACTGCTAAATGACAATTTTTTAATCTTTATTTAATAGTAATTTAACTGTATTGACATTTCTACAAAATTATCTTACTAATTTATAATTATAACGTAAAAAAATATATTATCTGATAATTTGAACTGTACATTTAAACTAAATATTAATTCGTAAATAAAAAGAGAATTTAATTACGAAAGTTTGTTGTTTTACTTTTAACATATGTCACTCAATTTTCTTCTTCTGCTATCATTCTTTCTTTTTGCAGCATACCTTCATATTGTTGAGGCCAAGTCTTGATATCTCTATTATCATAAACCTATCGATACAATTATTATTATTAAGAATTAGATAAATTTATTAGAAATTAATTTCAATCTAATAATAATTTGTTATTAATATTTACCTTGCTTACAAATTCCATAACTGATCGTACAGATAGTTCTTCATGAGCACGTATACCCCACTTCAACTCCGACTCGTCATCGTTATCTGATTTTTCCAATTTTATATACTTTTCTCTAACAAATTGCTGAAATATAATGTACAAGTGTTTAATTATTTAACACGACTTATATGGATGTTTGTAATATAAAAGGTTTGATAAACTTACAATTGTTATTAATTCAAGAACATTACCAAACGTTTCATTTATCATATTGCCATCGCTTATAATTTCCAATTTAGTTAAAAAGTCAAAAAGTGAACCTACAAAACAGCACTATTATCAACATACTGATTAAATTATAAATTGAATTTAAAAATAAATTGAATAATACCTTCGGTGCATACTTCTCCACTCATATAAATATGTGTAAGAACTAAAAATAACAAAACATAACGATTTTTGACATTTTCATCAAAGTTTAAATGTGGTAGGTCGTTTTTTATCGTATTACATAGTATGAATTTTCCACTTTCAACATCCACCAGTTTATAACCGAATACCTGTTTAGGATTGAATTAAATTTAATTATACAATCGAATTTAAATAATAAACGTATGCAATATTTAATAAGCATCTTACATCTCGTAAAACTTCTTGAGCACTATTCATAACCGCTCGAAAATTTTTGCCTTGACAATTAACTGCCTTACTTATTGCTGATCTTACAATTGGTATTTTAGAATGATCAGCCGCAAGAATGTACTTCACAACGTTACCCACATGATGAGCATGTTCTTGGCTCGATAGACTTTGATCGTGTGATATTTGGGTGTTTGAGCGGTGGTCCTCATCGTTTTGGCTACTTTGGCTCGTATTGCTACTCGTGGTTGGTTGTGATAAACATTTTCTAGATTTTTGAATTCGTTGAGACATTTTAAAATTTGAATTTAATGCAATATTTTCCAAACAAGCATAATTCAAAAGTTAATCAGTAACTTCAATAGAAATTTTAATATTTTCTATATAAATTTATGAATGTAAGCTTTTGTAAAATTGTAAAGCCTTTATTTAGTAATATTTACAATTACATTTAAATTTACCACTAATTTTTGGCCCATATTTATGTAAATTTATGTAAATCGAATCTCCAAAGAGGTTAACACTGTGTTTATCGGCGTTATTTCCCGCCGTAAGTGCATTTGTCAATTGCGCGTGTACATTCGCGTGCGAACGCGCCTGTCACAGTCTGAATATACGGTAGGGGGTGCGCGTGCGTGGGTGGCTGCGTACGCGCTTCTGGCTTTGAGTGCATTTACAAATAATATATTTACCTGCAGGTCGTATTTTAAATAAAATTTGTAGTATTTTTAATAATTTGAGTTTCGATAGTGATCCAATCGAACTGTAAAAAGTGCACGTTATAGCATAGAACATTATCAAATAATAAAGGCGACAACGGCAACAACAACAACAACAACGACATCGACGACAACATCAATAATAATATTATCAATAATTATAATAACATTTATTGTCAACAAAATTTCTACGAAAACTTTAAATATTACGATTAACAATCTTGGCTTTATATTCATACGAGATATTAACAATAAATTATTGTTGGAGGATGAGAGGAGATTGAATGGAGAAAAAATGGTAGCAACAATTATTTTAATTATTTTTATCAATTATCAAAGAAAAGTGAAAGAAAAAATAAGAAAGAGAAGTAAGGCAAAAGGAAACCACAATCAAAAGAATAAAAAAAAAATGAATGAAACAAGTAATCGTTAATTTATCTTCTAAACTCTTTACGCAATAATGAAATTTGTTTTTAAAAAAATTTCATTTCATTTTTCATAAAATAGTCTATCTAAAGTGGGCAATTATTTTTCAATAATTCACGATCGGGCATATTACTATTAATAATCATTTTTATTATTATTGCATTACGAATGAATCAATCGTCTAATCAATCATTATTTTTCGATTTACACTTTATTATTCATCGAGGTCAGCATCGTAATAATTTAACGATACGAAATATTCGCATTGTTTTGCACGCGATACGATTACCACGATTACGTCGTTCCCTCTTATATTCGCATTACGTTGCCTTTAATCGTCCATCCTGCCAAAATACACGCGTCCTCGCCCAAATAAATGGATGCATCCGGACAAGGCGTTGCTAATGATTTGAAATTCGCGCGCGTACCGGAACCAGTCAGCGCGAGACCATTTCTGCGCAGAATCACAAAATTTGCGAACGAGTTAAGGGCCATCGTTTTCTTGTAGCCATTGAAAAATAATTGCAAAATCAATGACTGCGCATTTGAAAGATCGTATACAACGAATATCCCATTAAATCCATAGAACCTGCCAGTTATCAAGCGTGCTCCTATCCTGATGGTTTTGCAAATTTTACAGCGCATCAAGACTATAATATAAATAAGTGAAAAAAAAAAAGGGGGGGGGGGAATGAAAAATTATGTAAAGGTGTATCATAAGATGCCATATGCATACGTCATAGACACTCATGTGCACACAGTGAAGTAGGTATGCGAATTGTCTAATTTTCTATCTCACCGAGCTGAAGACTTGGGTGATTTGTTTGGTGCTCGGTTTCGAGCTGGCACTGTTAAAACCCTGTGATTCTGAATAAATATCGACGTAGCAGCCAATCCGGGACGTTTGCGTGGTACAGAGAAGGGAAAATTAAGGACTTGGTTTTGAAAAAGTACAGGTAGCGAAATTTGCTTTCGTGTGATGAACAACGTGTTGGAAAGTGCATTTGCTTGGACCGGTTCATTTGTCGAAGCGATAAGCAGACTCACTTGTGACGTAGCAAACATAATATTCACAAGTTTCAGCATTAGCTCGAGCTCGGGTGACAGCGATACAGCTAACAGCGGCAGCGGTAGCAGCAGCACCGGCAGCAGCAGCAGCAGCAGCAGCAGCAGCAGCAGCAGCAGCAGCAGCAGTGTCGGCGGTGACACTCCTGTTGATTCCGGTGAGAAAGTCGGGTTAAATTTACCCCAGGTCTTGCAAGAGGCTGCGTCGCTGTTCGCCTTTGATGATTTTCAATATTTGCTGCTTAAGATTTTCGTCACCATTTTCATAAGTAACGCTTGTCTCATTTATATTGCCTGGTATTATTACGGGGCCAGGATTACAGAACGATTTATGACACCGAGTAAGTACAATAGACTTTACATATTATTTACGTGCGCTTGTGTAAATGATGTTAATGCACAGTTGGACTTGCTTTAGATACCTCGCCAGAAGAGCTTAAGCAAAGAGTGTTAAACCTACAACTTCCGACCGAGCATTCTCAACGTTATTCATAAAACGTTATTTCTGATCATTTTTGAGAAAGCTATGGCGGATAAAATTAAATCGTTCTTTCAGAAGAGAATTAGGGATAAAAAATTTAAGCACGCGGGCAAAGGATACAAGTAAGTTTTATTAATTCATTTTGGCCATTACGCCTGTCGTTTCCCTCGTATGTTTGTATTCTTTTATTGGATAGATTGAACGAGTCGGCACCTTCCACATCTGCATTGTACGAAGTGGATGATATACCGACGAGGCACGAGCCGACCGATGATGCTAAAGTCGCTGGTCAAGCTGCTTTAGCTAGAATAGAAGCAAAAGCAAAAGACGATTCAAAATTTAACACGTAAATAATAAATAACAGAGACATTTTAATCGTTAAATTTTAAACAATAATTTTTATTTATTTTACATTTAAAATTTGTTTTACAATTTGACATACAATCAGCATTAGCGTTTGCTTTTATAATTTATGTGTGCGATTGTATCATATGCTATAGCTAGAATGATTATCATACTTAATATTGCTAATCGAATAAACTTTTAATAGATCGTACGCATCTATACAAGCTCGTGTTAAACGAGAAATACAACAAGAGAAACAACGTCTCGCTAAGGATATTGCGGATAAAGAGGCAAACATTGCTAACAAAGCGAATGAGATTAACGAATCCAGAGTTGAAACTTCTGTACTTGCTGTGACTGGCGTTTATTATCGATGTCCGTTAATATCCGAAGAAATCTTAAATAAAGAAACATGGTATGAAAGAATTGAAGAATTTCTTAGTACCCAACTGATGGAGAGTGAAGTAGGATTATCCGCATGCTTAGTTATCCATAGTTGTAATTATGGGACAGAACGCATAAATTATTGCGTTGAAACTCTTTGTAAGTACTTAGATAACATTATAAATAATCCTAAAGAAGAAAAGTACTGGAAAATTCGCCTATCTAATAAAATATTTCAGGTATTTAATTATTATATTATCACATTAATTATTGTATAAATAATTCATACAATTATAAAAAATGAATATTTCCCATAGGAAAGAGTTAAAAAATTGAAAGGATCGATGGAATTATTAAAAGCAGCTGGATTTATTCAAGAGAAATTAATGAATCAAGAGACGGAAGAAGATTTTCTTATATGGAGTCCAGAAAGATCGAGTATTGATAATCTTAAAACATTAGTCGATGCTCTAAATTCTACTGAACCCGTAGAACTTTTACTCGATAGAAATGTACATGTATTATTACCAAGTCAAGCAGCGGAAAGAACCGAGTTACCTGCAGAGTTTTATTTACTCTCCGTGCAAGATTTAAAACGTGAACAATCTAATCTGTAATTATAAATTATAAATTTACTTAAATTTAATTTCAAATGCACGTCTTATATAATAAGTCCATTAACGAATTTAAATTCTTGTTTAGAACAAAATCCTTGGAATTAAATCAAATGCTGTTAACATCGGCTATGAGGGAAAAACTTATGGATAGACCAAAAAAAATATACCAATTTACTATAATAAGGATAAAGTTTCCAGATAATATAACATTACAGGGTACATTCGAAGTAAAAGAAAAGTTACGTGAACTAGTAGAATTTGTTAAAGAACATTTGGCGAATGAAAATTTTCTATTTAATTTAATAACTGATACGAGAGAAACACTAGGCGAGGCAGACTATGATAAGACATTAGAGACACTAAATTTAGTTCCAGCTGTCGTTCTTACATTTCTCAATAAATCTAATCCAGATTCCGGAGTTCCACCTTATTTCTTGAAAAAAGAAACACTCAGTCTTTTGCAGTCGTAAATATAAATATTATCGCTGGCGATTTTTTAATACAAATTTCCCTATCGATGTAAAAGTTGGGCTGTTGACAGTAAAACTTTTTCAGATATTTGTTTTTACTATTAGCCTTTGTTTAAAATTCACTTCCGGCAGTAATTTCATGTCGCAAATTTATTAAACAATTTCTACCACTTAATCTTCAAATAAAATACAAAAAAATTTTTTCGAAACCTTCTTTATTAAATGAAAGGTTGCCAATCTGGGATAAGTAATATGGAGAAATTAATAAACATTGGCTTTATAAACTAAGATATATGCTCTTGTATTTAAAACTTCAATGTTTATTATGTGAAACATTTATTTTGACATTTATAGTAATTAGTTGTAGTAAATATAGTTAATGCTTTCAGATTTTGCAGTTAATACGAATACATGTTGAAATAACTCATCGAATTTTTTAAATGAAATAAAATATTTATTAGTAATTCATTTGTTCAAATTTGAATTTGATTTTTAATTTTACCCATAAAATCATATAGTATGGAAAATTGTACAAAATCTTAACCAATTAATAATAAAGCTTTTATCTTTTTTTTTCAATTCACACATTTTCTATAAGATGCAGCATTGTCACATGTGTTTTTACAATATTTTGAATATTTTGAACATTTGTCATGCGCCAAATTAAGTATGACGAAGAAGTGTTTTGATGCTGTCGACGATATTTATGAAGTTTCGTTTAATAGTTATAAAAGAGTTATTTAACTTTGTGTTCAGTTCAATTACGACAGTATAATGAACTAATGTAAAGATTCTTTTATTATTACTATCGCCTTAACCATTTAAGTTTGTTCTGTGAAAGTTTTTAATAACTCAACCGAAGACAGTTTGTTAAAAAAAAAAAAAAAAAAAAAAAAAAAAAAAAAAAAAAAAAAAAAAAAAAAAAAGGAACATAATAATTAATATTAAGACAATAAAAAAGCAAGAAAATTATATTATCAATATAGACCTGTATTAGCTACAATGAACAATTGCTTTACATATTATTTTTTGACGTTATTACATTTGAAGGAAGTTGACAACATATTTCTACGTAATTGCTATTTTATTTTTGAAATTCTAGATATCTTTTTATGTTGAACGTATATCTGAAGAATACAATCGCTTTACTTTAAAATATTTTGCTCAATCAAGAACAACAGTGATGGTTTAATTAAAAAGAATATTAAATTATACGTTAAAAAACTTATTTCAATTGACTGAAAGTGAATGTACGAAGCAAATATAATAATAATTGATAATTGATATTCTTATGAAATTTATGAATTTTTTGTAACATAAATATTGATATTTATACATCGTTCATTTTGAAATTGAATTGCATATATTTATAAACAAGTTCAAAAAGTGTATGTTCTTTCTGTATTTAATAATTAATTTATAAAATACATAACATTTATTTTTTATTTGATATATTGCTCGTTTATTTATAATTCACGTAAACGCAAATTTAATTTTTTCCTATAGAGTAATTAAAACACAGATTGCCGAGATTATTCCTACTTTTATAATATTATTATGTAAAGCGAAATTAGCTTCATTGAAAATGTCTTCCGAAAAAACTAATAAAGTCTTCCTAAATCATTAACATTATAGTTCCATTTAACTAGAATAAAAATTTAATATTTCAATACAACCACTAAATATCTTATATTATACTATAGAAAATTGACACGGTAACATTAAAAATAAATTTTTAAATCTTAGCATCGAATTTCCCGTTACGATTATTTAATGCACCAAGTCTTAATTTATTAAATTTATTAAATACTCTCATAAAGTTTCTACACAATTTCTTTTAATTAGAAATTGAAATGTGTGTATAATATTGAAGATAATAATTTTACAGTTTAATATAAAATTTAATACAATAAGAATTATTTATTATAATTTAGTGGTACATTGATACGAAGTATTTACTATCAGAGTATTTCACATTAATTTCTCGATAAAATATGTTTTAACGGATACAAATAATTATTATTTGAAATATCTTTTTACAAATTTTAATTGTAACATATAAGAAAGTATAATTTATCACTATTCTCTTTGGCACTAAAGGTTCACGGGAACCGAATACTCACGGAAATTCCTACATGTGGCACGAACTTTTTTCTTTCGCATTGTTCATGTTAATTATTTGGCTTATTTGTTTTCAATTTCGAATTTATTTTTTATCAAAAGAATGTCGATAAGTTACATTAGTATCGATATGTTAATATAAATTTATTATAATTACGTGCATAATACGATTAAACATTTAAAAATGTGTCAATACACATGGACGGGAACCCGCGCAATTATTTGCAAAAATGTTTATACGACATAATTGCATTTTACTTTCTAAATGTTTGAAGATATAATATGTTTTTTTTAATTATGGGTTATCCAAATCAATATCAACTATTACATTCTACATTATTAATTTGCAATATATGTGTTTCATGTTATTATTTTTACTTTTTTATTTGAAATTTTTCTTTTCGTTACTTTTCACTATGAATTATCCATATGAATTGAAAAAGAAAAAAAAAAAAAAAAAAAAAAAATTAGCTTTAATAATTTATCATTGTCTTTATAAAAGTGAATATTTTTCAGTCTTTTTAATGATCGAAAATTCGCTGAAATAAAGGAAAAATATTTTTTGTTGCTGACGAAATAGTATTATGTCAAAAAAAAATTTTAAATTACACTTTTCATGTCCTTTCGAAACTAATAATGGAATTTTATCGACTAACACAATTTAATGTATAAATAATTATAGAATTCTCCCTTCAACTTCATTATTAATGGGAGCGTAAATTTCGTATCACTTTGCGATTCTAAAGAGATATCTAAACATACTGCAAGTACAACTATAAGAAATATTACATATTATCTACATTTACCTACTGATTATATCGAAGTAATTTTATTTCCGTACGCGCGACGTATTTAATTGCGGCTATGCTTAAGATTTCGTATAAAATGAAGGATAACCTTAATGTGATTCATATATTACAAATAATTTATTTTAGACCTTTTCATTGTGACATTGTGACAATAATTAAAAGAAGAGACAAATTTAATTTAATCCTTTGACAATATCTTGTGTTAATTCTAAATGTAATAATAGTTTTGCATTTCATGCATTTAATCTTACACACAAGTTGCTTAAAACGAAGATTTTTCATTCATCCACCAAATAAATCGATCGAAACTTAATCGCTAAACCGCATCCTGAGACTACGGGGCACTTCCATTAATTCCAGCCGAACCAAATATTCCTCCCGATTATTCGTCTAAAAGCATTTGAGAGCGAAAAGAGGCAGAGTCCACAGGGGGAGATAGATCCGTTTTCTCTCCCTTTCGCTCTATAATTCGAATTCGCAGTTGCATTGATGGATATATCCTAGGGAAGGAATCCTCGGGGGTGGCCTCGGCTCAGGGGACGTTAGATTTCCGGTCCTGGCTGGGCGTCAGCTGCTTCCAGAGATCCGTTATCAAGGGCACGTCGCTGAAGTGCTACGAGGAACAGACAAGGTCTAGGGCGTGGGAACGCGAGCCCGACTCGACGTCCAGCCAGGCGCACTGAGGCTTGGGTTGCTGGGTCGCGACCGACCGGTTACTGCTCCCCGTCGTCGGCGTAGTCGTCGAGCTGTCCGGGGAACTGTCAGTCGGAGACTTGAGCTCCTGCAGAGGTATGCCATCGGAAGCTTTAGCCGGACACTCGTCGAACGACACCTGCGCATAAAGTTGTATTTTGGAAACTTCTCTTAAGCTGGACTGAGTTTATTTTGGGATTTATTAAGGGTTATCCAAGGATACTCCCATGCGGAAAGTCGTGATCTCTCTCTCTCTCTCTCTCCCTCTCTTTTTTTTTTTTTTTTAAATAGTTTCATTGTGTTTCTCAATGAAAATTGAAGGATCGAGGAATGGAGGATCAGGAGTTAAGATACGTGTGTTATGTAATGACGATTTAAAATTAGCTTCATTACTTTAGCAGGAGAAGGATTGGTTTTCGAGGACATTTAATAATTTGCTTAAAGTTCGCGCAGGTTTTTCAGAGATTATTATATATTGAAGTTTAAAAAAAAGAAAGAGAGAGAGAGAGAGAGAGAGAGAGAGAGAGAGAAGGACTGTAGGACAAGCACGAATCGAGCGTTTGATTTTTATGAAGGAAAACAAATGCGAATTACTTGCACTATTTATTTAATATAAGATATTATATTATTAATGAATTTGCATTGACTCAGCATCGAATTCAGCACGATAACTTTACATAGCTTCCCCTAACTTCGCTTATACAGTCTTAAACATGCAATTATTGAAATAACAATCGTGGGTGTTACGATAATTAAAATTAAAATGAATTACCATTGCATAAATAGTCTCAGTCTCGTGGATTATGGATATTGTTTTAGCTGTTTAGGTGTTCGAAGTGGTTTTCAAACTATGATAATAAATTTTGTAATTTTTTACAAATGTTGAGAGAACTTTTCACCTCGAGTTCCAGAGAATTTCACGAAAAACTTTATGAATTATTGCTTG